TGCAAGGGGGATGATAAAGGCAGGCAGCATCTGAGCCCCAAAAGGGAACCCCAGAGTCAAAAGCCAATGGGAGCAGGAGCTCCCTGCAGGGTAACTCAGCCCTGGACCTTGATATCCCGTAATTTCCCACCTCTTTTCCCAAAAGAGCTGGGGCATTGCTTGAGTTTGGGCTGGGGATGGGCTGGAGCATCTCCATGGTTTAGTTTTTACCTCCCAGAACTGTAAGGGAGTGGTGCTCCCAGTGAGTGTTCTGCCTGCTGCTCCCAGGAGAGCAGGGAGAGGCTGCCAGCGCCTGCCTGCACCCCCAGCTCACTGCCTCCCCTTTCTGCTGCTTTTTGGGGGGATTTAGCCCAAAACACGGGCTCAAAGCTGTGTTGCCAAAGCCGCTTTTGCTGTTGCTGCTGCTGCATCCCTGGGTGATGCCTGAGGATGGAGATACCGGAGAGTAAACACGGCACTGAGGTGAGCGTGGCAGCAAAGGGGGGCTGGACAGGAGAAGGGTGTGCCTGGATCGATGTCAGGGCATCAGGGATGAAATCCCACAGGATTATCACTGCCCTCATCTCCTCAGCAGGGGCTTGGCACCCCATGGGTGGCTGTGCTCTCTTTAGCAGCTCAGCCATAACCTCCAGGGTGTAGCAAGCTGCATACAGCAAGAAAAGGTCTTTATTTTAATGTTTAAATAGCAAAAGAGTCATTAAACCTATATAATAAAAATAATAATATGTAATCTCTAACATTATAGCTCAACTGTAGCCCTGTAGGTCTGTGATGGCCCAAGGTTACCCCAGAGCAGTGAGATAAACAGGTATACCCACATAGCTGGTGGTTTGAGGGTGTAGGAAGGGATTTGTGTCCCATCCCTTTGTTTTTTCTGCTGCAAGGATTGGAAAAAACATAAGGGGAGAGGAGAGGATGGACCCAGGTCTGGTCTGAGTTGCTCTGGAGCACATTAAAACCAGCAGTGCCATGAGAAGGCAGGAGCAGCTTGGATTTATCCTGAGGACCCGCCACTGTGAAAATACTTGTTGTACCTGAACTTATTTGCTGTTGCCACCTTGAAAATTGCAGCCTGGTCATGAGTAAATGTTTTGTTAAGACTCACATGCCAAGGAGGGCTTGTTTCCCCTATCGTAAATCTTTGGCTGGGTTATTGTGTGCCTGGGATACCACGGTAAAGGGAACAGCGCTGCCTCTCCGACTAAGAGGCAATTAAGATTCCTTTAAAGATTCCTTTAAAGTGACTCGCAGGGCTCTTAAAATAGGATAAATGTGGGTATCAGTGCACAGGCCAGGCTGGCTCCACACCCTCTGTGGGTTGTGCCCAGTGTCCAGTGGAGCTGATTTTCCAGTACTGTGCCCTCACAACCCTCTTCATTCCCCCAGCCACAGCACTGCAGCTCTGGCTCTTGACATTGCTCTGCTCTGTGGTTTTTGGCATCTCAGCATCCCTGGTGCCCCTTGGCACCCCTCTTTCCCAACCATGCAACATCCCAGGATCCCAGAACCCTCCTTGGCACCCCTCTTTCCCTGCCATGCAACATCTCTTGGAGAGGGCTCAGATCTGATCCCTGCTGCCTTGCAGTGGTGGTTGTTGCAACCCCACAGAGATTTTCTCCCCAGCTTGGAAAAAACCTCCCCGAGCGCCAGGAGCTCGCAGCGGCCGGGGGGAGGAAGGTTTGGGATGCCAGGCTGGGGATTTGGGTGTCTTTGATGCCGTGCCAAGCGCAGGCAGTGCCTTTCCCTGGGTGCTCTCCCTGCAGGATGGCCCCCGGCTGCCTCCCAGGTTGCGCTCAGGCTGCGGCAGGCGCGGGCTGTGCCGGGGCAGGGCCGGCGTGGGGCGATCCCGGCCCTACCGCACGCAGAACACCTGGGCTTGGGACATCCCGGGGCCTAAACTGCTTCTGTGGGGGTCTCTGCTGCCCTCCAGGGAGCACGGGGGCCGCCCTGCTGGTTCCTGAAAGCTCTGAGTGCCTGGAGAGCTCGGGAGGGATGGTGTGGCTGGGCTGAAGGGGTCTGTCTGTCTGTCTGTCTGCCCTTGGTTCCCACTGCTGAGAGTGAATCCATAGGGACTGCATCCCTTCCTCGGGTGCTATCCAACTCTCCTCCAGTTAAAAATAAAGACCTTTTTTTGGGATAAACTGCTGGAGATGCCTATTTTTCTCACCCAGGGAAGCTGGACCGGCAGTGGGTGGCTCCATGACCCGTGGGCATGTGGGATGGGACGGTGGGAGCACAGGAGAGGTGTCCTTGCCTCGTGTCGAGCCTTTCCCAATCCACAGGTTACCATGGGAACATGAAAGTGCCAAACCTGCTGGTCCATGATGCTTTGCCAGGGTGGCCTGGGATCACTATCCATCCACGCTGGGATGGTGTGGGGGAATTTATAACGACTCCCACCTCCATGCTTGTTCCATGCCTTTAAATTCCTTTCTTTGCTTTTTTTTTTTGGCTGGGAGCAACTTAGTAGGTCCTTGGTTCCACTCTGTGGATTGACATGACTTAAGTCTGGAAATGCTGGAGCCATTGAGGCCATGGGGGGAGATTGGAATGGGTTGATGGAGATATAGGGATGAACCTCTCTGAGTTTCCACCTGGCAGGAGGGTCGGGGTCTGTGTGGGTGTTGCTGGCATCTCCCAGGGGACATGGTGAAACTGGGAGGCAAAATGCTGCTCCAGGTCAGAGGCAGACAGGGAAACTCCATGAGGCTTGGCCATGAGCTGCCTCTGCAGCATCCTGGGATGGGGCTTTCCCAGAACATGGGGTGGGGAAGGGAGTGGGAGATGGGGAATGGGCCATGGGGCTTTTGGATCCTTTGTGCAGCAATAATTGCAGCCTGCGGTGTTGTGGGGGTGCATCCTCCAACATCAAAGAAGGGTTTTCCAGTCACTTCTTCCAGGTGTGGGGAGCTGAATCCAGCTGGGACTTTCTCCCCCAGCTTCAGGGCTCGGTGGGGCAGGCAATGCCCTGGAACAACCCTGGGGGAGCGAGGGTTCATCCCAGTGAGTGCTTGAATCTCTCCTGCCAGACAGGGATGCTGCAGTGTGGGATCCAGGCAGGATGTTTGGTGAGGGGTCTGTGCTGGGGGGGTCTGAGGGAGGCTGTGATGGGACAGGGATGATGTGGGGGCACTGAGGATGCTGTGATGGGACAGGGATTCTCAGCGAGGCGCAAAGGATGCTCTGGGGGCTTTGAGGATCCTGTGTTGGGATGAGGATGCCAGTGGGAGGGGACTCTGAGGACATTGTGGGACACCAGGGATGCTGCATTAATAGGGTTATTGCAGGACTGGGGATGCTGTGGGAGGGCTCTGAGGATGCTGTGAGACCAAGGTGCCATGGGGTGCTCTGAGGGTGCTGTGATGGGACAGGGATGTTGCAGGCTCTGAGGGTGCTGTGATGGGACAGGGATACTCAGGGAGCCACTGGGGATGCTGTGATGGGACAGGGACACTTAGGGGATACTGGGGATACTGTGATGGGACAGGAATGTTGCAGGGGGCTCTGAGGATACTGTGATGGGACAGGGATACTCAGAGGGTGTTGTGAGGGTGCTGTGATGGGACAGGGATACTCAGAGGTGTTCTGAGGGTGCTGTGATGGGACAGGAATGCTGCAGGGGGCTCTGAGGGTGCTGTGATGGGACAGGGATGCTGCAGGGGGCTCTGAGGGTGCTGTGATGGGACAGGGATGCTGCAGGGGGCTCTGAGGGTGCTGTGATGGGACAGGGATGCTGCAGGGGGCTCTGAGGGTGCTGTGATGGGACAGGGATGCTGCAGGCTCTGAGGATGCTACAAGACTGAAGATGCTGTGGGGACCAGCAGGACCCTTTGGCATTGCTCACTCCAGCAACCCTACAAGGAGGACACAGGACCTGGCTCAGGGTGTTCAGACCTTGCTGCTTTCAGCAGCTGCTCTGGTTTGGGCTGTGGATCTGGGAGGGCTGTGGGGAGCTTGATCTCATTCCAGAGGCACCAGGGGTGCGGGGGCAGCCGGGTGTGCTCTGTTTTGCTCCGCATTCCCTGATCGCTTCACTAAACAAGGTTCCTTCTCCTCAGGGATTAAATGCCATGTTTGCCTTAGATAAATTTTGCATCAGGCCCAGCTTGTGCATACAAGCCTGGGAAAAGATCATAAAGCTTTCAAGAAACATTATTTAAAAAAAGCTGGTATGTAAAGTCAAACATTGCGGGCAGAGCAGATTTTCCCAGTGCTTTCACTGGTGGAAGGGGTGAAGTGTGCTTGGTTGGGTGTTTTGGCACCCAAGGATGAAGCTGGGGGGTGAATTTGGTGCTAAAATCAGGTCCTGATGCCCAGCAATTTCCCAGCCCTGTGCAAACAGGGGTACTCAGCCCCCTACCCCAGGAGCAAACCCAGCCTCCAGCTGAGGCAATGGATTTCCCCTTAGGGCTTTTGTGGCCAGTTTTACTAAGAACAAAACTCCCCAGGAAGCAGAAGCTGCTTGTACCTTCCCCTAATTTTATTTTTTCCAAGAAATTGTAATATGTAAAGGGGTGAGACCCCCCTGTGCCTTCTCCCTGTATTGCTCCCAACTGTGAAGACCCAGCTGTAGGTTTCATCTTCCCAAGCACGAGGGGCTTGTTGAGCTGGAAATTCGGATGCAGGATGAGAGCCAGTTGGGATGGGGGGGTTGCTTCCCCTTTCTGGAGCCCCCAGATAATGATGGGGCACAATTATCCATGTTTTATGAAGTGCTTCAGAGGGAGGTGCTTTCCTAGGGGACCTCCTCACCTGCCCCATCCCTCTGCTGTCAAATGGACACAATTTTCTTTTTCTAATGTCCTGTCCCGTTTCTTTTAGTGTGGTTTAATTGTCCTTAATTGCCTTTTAATTGCCCTTCCTGCCCTTTTTAATTAATTGCTCTCCTGCCCTTTTAACTTCAGAAGGCCATGACAGGGAAGGGAAGAGCCTGGCTCTTGTGGGACCATCCTTGGTCCCATTTCTCCTCATTCTTGGTACATTTTTGCTCCCAAACCCGGTGTTCTTGGCTGGCTGAGGCCGTGGCCCTGCCGGGTGTTTGGCAGGTGTCAGGTTTGTTAGTGGCACTTCCCTGGGCAGGAAGGGGATGAGATGGGTGCCCTCCCTTGGCAGTGACTAATCCTGGAGGATCTGATGGGCAGGCTCTGATTGAGAGGCTGTTTGCATCGCCCAGCCCCGGTGCACTTTTCCCTTGGCTGGCATTTGCACACCGGGACGTGGCTGGTCAGAGGCAGGAGCAGCTCAGGTACCAGGGGCACAGCCAAGCCCAGCTCTGAGCCTGGCTTAGAGCAGGATTCACCTGGGAGCAAAGCTGCCCTGTAGCCCAAAGCTTCTCCCTCACGGTAAGTTCATTTTCCGTCCTTGCCGTGTCCTGGTGGGATGGGATGGGCCCATCCTGGGATGGCTCCAACCACGGCTCTTTGCTCCTTGTTCCAGGAGCGAGAGATTTCAGAGGAGCACAACAGTGTCCCTGCTTCCCTGGGCAGTGTTTGTGTGGGCACTAAGCTCCAGCACCTCCTGTCCCCAGGCCGGGATGGGTGAATCCAAGGCGTCGGAGGTTCCCCAAGTATGTGATGCTCTTTGGTTTGATGCTGCTCGGCTGCTCCTGTCCTTTCTGACTGGCTTTGTGGTGGCACGTTGGACTTTGGATCTGCTGGTGCCAGGTGGATGCTTAAGCTGGGTTTAAAGTCTCCCCCATGGGATTTTGTGGTTGAAACCCCACTGGGGGCTTGTTTTCCCTCTCTAATTATCTTTTTTTTTTCCTTTGGCCTCTAACCTGTAGGGCTGAAGCTCCTTGGGAAGTGCCGCTTGCTTGGCTTTGATAAGCTCTCTAAACCAACCTTTTTGCAGTAAACAAATGTGAATTTAAATAAATAAATCCTTGGGGAACCCTTGCACCTGCTTGTCTGCAGATGCAGATGGGCAAGCAGGGGGTGATGCCTCTTGGGTGGGGTTTCAGGGTCAGCTCTGATGGGTTTTCCCTGTTTTCCTGCTGCAGGTGACCAGCCACAATGAGAGCTGCGGCCCCTGCCTGATCCCTTTCCTGCTGATAAAAATGATCAACAAGTCTCGTGAGTCCCCCAGGGATCCCCTCTGTCCAAGCAGGGATGGGGAGCCTGGGGAATTTGCATTTGGAATTCTGGGGGTTGGATGCTGCTTTGCTGTGGTTCCAGTTGAGTGATGGAGTGTTGGGGTATCACAGGTGGCAGTGGGGAGGGTGGGTTTGGGCACCTTGATCTCTGGGCTTGGGCATCTGGAACCCTTTGGACTTTGTTGTACAGAAATGGGGTGGAGGCACACGGAAAAAGGGATATTTGCCTAATCTTTTATGAAAAGCAGGCAGGAGGAAGCAGGAACGTCACAGTGGTTTTTTAAACCTGAGATAAAACCACCTGACTCATCTTAGAGCCGCTCCTCTCTGGGCCGTGGTGCCAGCCAAACCTGCTCCCTGAGGAGAGGGCTCTGCCATCCTGGCTCTAGCTGGGGATGCTGTGGGACCCCACAAGCAACCATCTAAACCCCATGGCTGACATTGGTTTATCTCTCCCCCTCCCCTCTGGCCTTGCAGGAGGGAAGATACTCGGGGTGCTGGCGCTGTTTCTGGTGATGGTTTGGTACTCGATCTACCGGGAAGACAGGTACACACAGCTGTGAGTGCTCCTTACTCAAGTTTAAATGATCTCCTGCCCTTTCCTTCACTCCTGGGAGGCAGTTCCTTCCTGCCCATCCCTCACAGGGAAGCCAGAGCGTGGCACATTCCCTGGATCTGAGGGGACTGGGGAGGTGGCAGCATCCTTGGCTGCTGCTGGAGAATGGGGGACACAAACGAGGCTCCCCCTCGGTGGGTGGTGATGGTTGGGCTCTGGGGGGTTTTTTGCAAATGCTGCTTTTCCTGGTGCTTTTCTGAGCCCAGGAGGATGGGAAAGCCCTGCTCTCTTCCCAGTGCCAGCGATGCTGAGAGAGATGGGGAAAGTGGAGTGTGAGGTTCATGAGCAGAGCAAGAGAGACCTCTTCTGATGCAAGGCTGCAAGCCCAGCAGATAAATGCCCAGGCAGTGCCGGCCTTAAATCCATCTGGAAATCTCTCACAGCTTGAATCCCACAGCGGGGATGCCTGGGGGTGCTGGAGCCCCTTTCGCTAGGAGGGGGCTGCAGAGGAACAGGCATAGTTTGATTTAATTAACCTCTTCCTTTACAGCTTTTATTTCCCTGTACAAGAAAACAACAAGACAACGTGTCCCCTTGGGGAGGTGGAAAAGAAAGCGGCGCAGCTCATCGGGAAGTGAGTTTGGGGCTGGGAGCAGGGAGTGGGGGGGATGCAGAGCCAGGACCCCCCTCCCTGTGCCATCCCTGATCCCAGTGTCACCGACCCTTTGCTCCTTGGCAGCTACACGAGGGACCACCCACTGTTCTTGCAGCTGAAGGACTACTTCTGGGTGAAGACGCCGTCGCTCTACGAGCTGCCCTACGGCACCAAGGGAAGTGGTAAGCCTGACAGTGCTCTGTGGGATCTCTCTGTCTGTCCTGCTGCTGCTTGCTGCTCCTGGGGTTTCAACTTCCTTTTTCCTAAAGACATCTGCAGGTTGATTTTGCTGGGGACTAGTCCCAAGCTATTTTCTTGGTTTTTAAAGTCTGCAGTGAGTATCTCCTCACACATGGTGCCTCTAAAAAAGTTTAGAGCGGGCCAGGTTTTACTAAACCCCAGAGACAGATTATCTGTTTGCAATTGGGATTAACAGTAGGATTAAATTTGGCAGGGATGGGGCAGCACTCAGAGTGTTGTGCCAGGCAGGAGCTGCCTTCCTCACCTTCCTCACCTTCCTCACCTTCCTCACCCTGTCCTTGCCCTTGCTTTGCAGAAGACGTCCTGCTGCGCCTGCTGTCCATCACCCACTACTCCCTGCCCGAGAGCATCCAGAGGTAACACTGGGGTGGGTTTAGGGGCTTTTCTCTTTTTCTTCATCATTGCTCTCTTGGGGGTGGTTGCAATTTGTCTGCTGTGGGCCGAGGATTTGGCAAAATGAACCTCTGCAACTAAGAGGTGGTGGATGGAGCCATTGGAAGGTGTGGAGACTGGACAACACCAGGTTTAACTCCCCTGGTGGTTAAAATCAGCCCAGTTTTGGAGCAGGCCTGGTTGAGCCAGGGTTTTGTCTCGCAGCCTCAAGTGCAGGAGGTGTGCCGTGGTGGGCAACGGCCACCGGCTCCGCAACAGCTCCATGGGGGACACCATCAACACCTACGACGTGGTGATCAGGTACAGCCCCGGCCCCCGCTCCCTGCCCAGTGCCACCGCAGCTGGGGCTGACACCTGTGATGTCCCAAAGGCTGAACAACGCCCCAGTGCATGGTTATGAGCAGGACGTGGGCTCCAAGACCACCATGCGCCTCTTCTACCCCGAGTCAGCCCACTTCGACCCCCGGACCGAGAACAACCCCGACACGCTGCTGGTGCTCGTGCCCTTCAAGCCCATGGACTTCCAGTGGATGGAGGCCATCCTTAACGACAAGAAGAGGGTGAGTGTGGTGGGGAACCAGGTCCAACCCCTCCCTGGCTGCTCCAGACTCCAGCTGTCATGCCACCCCACCCTTGGGGACATCTGGGCTCTTGCAGGTTCGCAAAGGGTTTTGGAAACAGCCCCCGCTGATCTGGGACGCCAACCCGGAGCAAGTGCGCGTCCTCAATCCCTACTACATGGAAGTAACTGCTGCTAAACTGCTCAACCTCCCCATGAAGCAACCACGGAAGGTCAAACAGGTAAGGGGTGGGGATGGCCAGTCACCCTGCACACCCTGAGGGGGGTCAGCCTGTCCCTGTGCAGCTCCCTGAAGGCTGTGGCTCTCTGTCCCTCAGAAGCCCACCACAGGGCTGCTGGCCATCACCTTGGCACTGCACTTCTGTGACCTGGTGCACATCGTGGGCTTTGGCTACCCCGATTCGGCCAACAAGAAGCAAACCATCCACTACTACGAGCAGATCACACTCAAGTCCATGGCCGTAAGTGTTTGCCCCACAGTTTTGTCCCTGTTCCCTTCATTTTTCCCCCAGGAGGGGGGATGGCAGCCCAGGAGAGCAGTGCCAGGATGCTGAATGGCATGGGAGGCTCTTCCCTCTCACTCCTCTCCCATGACGAAGGTTGAAGTCCACCTTTGGCTGGTCATCATCCAACTTCTCTTGGTAGCCAAATGTCCTTGGAGGCATGGAGAGTTGGATCCATCACAGTTTATGTGTGAGGAGAACCATGGACAGGGGGATTGGGTGGGGAGGGTTCCGTCCCTGCTTTTGGGAGGCTGAAGTCCCTGCTGGTGGGGTGGGCAAGGTGGAGGGTGGGAAGGGAGGACTGGAAGGAAAATGTGTGGCCCAGACCCTGGTGTCACCCCTGCTCCCTGTCCTGCAGGCGTCGGAGCACAATGTGTCACACGAGGCCGTGGCCATCAAGAGGATGCTGGAGCTGGGACTCGTCAGGAACCTCACCTACTTCTGAGGGTGGCGGGGCAGCGCAGGTACACCGTCCCCAGGACAAGGAGACACCGTCCCCTGCAGCGAGGGGACACTGCGCTGGCACGGCCGGAGTGACCGAGGGCAGAGCATCGTTGTCACCGCTGCCACCACGGCCTGGGACTCCTGGAGCAGGGCCGGGGCTGGGCCCGTGCTGGACCGCGGGTGCCCGGGGTGCTGGGGCGGCTCTCGGGGTGCAGGGAGCCCGGCGGGGCCATGGCCCTGAGCCTTTTCTACTGACGCACTGAAGCTACCGAGGACTCGAGGGGGTTTTTGGGGTAGGGGGGTCCTCCCTCCCAGCGGGCCTGAGGGGGTGAGCCAGGGCAGGAGCCCTTGCCCTGGACATTCTCTTTCCCTTAATTCCCTCATACACTGACGAGGGCCCTGCTGAGGGGCTGATTTTGGGGTCCTGGCCCCTCCCCGCCCAGGGAATGGGAGCCTTTGGAGGTTCATGTTGCCTCCTCCCTGCCCTGGGCCTCCCCCCAAATATTTAATTCCCTCCCTTTTTTTTTAATTTCCTTTTTTACTTGGCGGCCCTGTCCTGTGCCTTAGCGCTGGCGTAGGGACTTGTCCCCACAGCCCCCCTGGGTGGGGGCACCCTGGGCTGCTTGGCTTCGGGGTCTGCCAGGGCCCTTTGGTGGTGCAGATTAATTTAATTAATTTAAATGCTTATTTATGGTGGAGCCCTCCCCCAGGGCCTGCATGCCACTGGTGTCAGGGACAAGGGCCCTTGGGTGGGCTGGTGTGTGCTTGGCTCCAGGGTGGGCATTTGGGATGTCCCCCACCATGGAGGGGTTGACCTGGTGCCTTCTCGCTGCTGGTGTAGGGTCCCCTCTGCCCCCGTGGGGCTGCAGGTGTTGGGGGGACCCATGGATGGGGGTGTTGGGGCTCATGTTGGCACCCAATAAAGTCCTGGTGAGGCTGGGATGGGCTTGGTGCTCCTGGGGCATGGTGGGGAGGAAGTGTGAGGGAGTTTTGGGGCTGTGAGCTGCAGGGAGGGTGGCCTGTTCCCATGTCATTGTGTCCCCTTACCTGTTTGTGATGCCCCATCTCCTGGCTCCCACGCTGGGCTTGTGGGGTCCCAGCTGCCCCGTGCCTCAGTTTCCCTCCACCACCGGCCATTTCTGCCCCCATGGGGCCTGCCCCAGGAGGCCATGGCACAGCCAGGCTCCAGGCAGCCGTGTGCCGGGGCAGAGTGCCAGGGAAGCCGTGTCCTCGCGGGGCGGCCATCAGCCCAGGCGTGCCACGAGAAACACCTCTTGTATTGACCGCGGTGCCGCGATACAGCGGAGAGGCCCTTCCCGGGGAGTCCCTGTCCCACCGCCGTCCCCATGGCGGGACCCCCCGACCCCCCGACACGGACTCTATAAGTATGGACACCGAACACCACGAAGGGAAGGGAGGAGCCGGGGCAGGGGGCAGCGGCAAGCGGAGGCGAGCGGCTGTGGGGGCGCGGGGGGCGCGCTGGGGCCAGGGCCGTCCCCAGCCCCGCCGAGGGAGCGGCTCCCCGGGCTCAGCGCGTCCTCGGCGGGGTTGTGCTTAGCGTGTGCCAGGGAGGGGGATGCTCGGCCGGTCCCCTGCCCCGGCCCTGCTCCGGGGGCCTGGATCCGGCCGCTCCCAGCGCCGCTGCCGGCGGTGCCGCTGTCCTAGCAGAGCACGGCGCCCACGGGAGGGTCCCGAGCGTCCCGAGGGGCTCAAACGTGCGTCTGCATCCGCCTCTGCAGGGGCCGGCTGGGGTCTGAGTTTTGGGAAGACGACTGGGAGTGGTGGGAGGAGGACGCGGAGGCCTTGCTGGCCTTGTCGAACTGCACGTAGCCGTCCTGCTTGCCGCTGCTGCTGATGCTGCTGTCGCACTGGGTGTCGAGGAAGGAGCTGCTGTCGCTCATGGAGCCGCGCTGGAACTCGCGCTCGCACAGCTCGATGGAGCTGCTGCCCATGCCCAGCACGAAGCGCTGGCTGTAGTCGTAGAGGCGGCTCTGCCCGCTCAGGGTGCTGTAGATGTTGGTGAAGGACATGCCCGTGGGCACCCGCTGCTTGCCCGCCGGGCGCAGGTCGGCGGGGCAGCCCGACAGCGAGATGGTGGGCGTGGAGTGGTGCTCCTTGAAGGTGTTCACGCTGTAGTAGCCATTGGTGGGGTCCTGGGGAGTGGGAGAAGAGGGGCAGGTTGGTGGGGGCCTCTCTGGGTACCTCCCTGGGCATTTGGGGTGCCCACCCTGCCCATCCACCCGGGATATGTGAGACTTATCAGAGTCATGGAATATGGTGAGCTGGAAGAGACCCACCAGGATCATCCAGCCCAACTCCTGGCTCTGCACAGACCCCCCAACAATCCCACCCTGCTCTCTGTGCCTCCTGGAGCTCTGGCAGCCTCAGGGCTGTGCCCATTCTCTGGGCAGCCTGGGCAGTACCCAGCACCCTCTGGGGGCAGAACCTTTCCTGATATCCAACCTAGCCCTCCCCTGTACAGCTCCAGCTGCTCTCTCAGGTCCTGTTGCTGTCACAGAGAGCAGAGGTTAGAGCTGTCCCTCAGGAAGAAGCTGCAGACCCTGATAAGTCTCCCCTTGGTCTTCTCCAGGCTGAACAAGCCAAGTCACCTCAGTGACTCCTTGTATGAACCCTCCAGACCCTTCCCCATTTTCATAGCCCCCCTTTGGAGGACACCTCAACCACCAAACCATCCAGCAACATCCTCTTGTGCCACCAGTAAATTCCAATCTGCTCAGCCCCCTCCAGGTGGGGACACAAGTGCCCCTTGCACACCACTGTCCTGGCACCACAACTTCGTGTTAGCTTTAAAAGCTGCTGGGGCCATAAAGCAGTGCCAGCATGCCAGAGCCTCTCTCCCTGCACAGGGACAGCCCTCTGGGACACGGCCCAAGGACAGGCAGCGTGGCAGCAGCAGTGCTGGGTGAGGCTCTGCCCGGTGCTGGGCACGGGGAGGGTCCCCAGCACCCCGGGTGCAGCCCCTCTGCCAGCAGTGACGGGGGGCTCTGAGCCCATCTCTCACTGGGGACACAGGCAGGCCGCAGGATCCAACCCACCTTCAGGTTTTGGAACTCCTTCTCCTCCTCCTTGAGCACCTCGAGCTGCTTCAGCACCGAGTCCTGCTGGAACTCGCCGCGGTCCATCTGGGAAAGGAGCAGGGTCAGCATCCAGCACCGCCCGATCCCCATCACCCCCAGGCCATGGGGGCAGCCCCGCATCCATCACCAGCCCCTGGGCACTGGGAAATTGCCACCGGCCGGGTTCAAGGACGTGCCCAGGGGTGCCCCAGTGATGTCCGAGGGCAGACGCCCAAAAGCCACACAATTCCCTGGGTTACAGATTGTTTTTCCATGTTTAGGACAGAAAAAGGCAGGCTGATGCAGAAAACGAATTATTTACCGAGATGAGGGCTGGGGCTGCACCCGCCTGCCCAAAGCAACACCCCCAAAATCGTCTGGGTTTTTTTGGTGGTTTTTTTTTTTTTTTCCCCTTCTTTTCATCCTTTCCTCCTCAGCTGAACTTGGCCGCCTCATTAGTTTTCCTTTGAAGGCTGGCTGTGATCGGGGGGAAGCGGAGAGGAGGGGCAAGGTGCACATTAATTACACCACAGCTTTAATTACCCTTCCTTCAGCACGCGGGGCTGTGCAGGAAGCGGGATAATTATCAACCAATTCCTCAGTTGCCTTTTTTTAGCTTCTCCCGTATCCACCCGACGCCTCCAGCCCAGCTTCTCTGGGATCACAGCCCCACATCAGCCCCAAAATCCCCTTTTATTGCCCAAATTCGCTCCTCTTTAAGATGGTAAGTAGCTGTGGAAATTCACCCCGCGGCACTTGCTGTTCATCTCCCGAAAGCCTTTGATGTGGCTGTTAAAGGCAATAAATTAAAGTACCTGAGTTTTCCTAGGGAAAAGAAAGCCTGTATCAGCCATTGATTTACCAGGATAAATACAAGTGTCGCCGAGGATTAAACGAGTGCAGCTAAAGTGGGACATGGAGGGTTTTTTTTTGCTCTGCCAACCCCGGCGACCCCCTCGATCCTCTAAAGCATCTCTGCAAAGGCAGACCGGGGCTGTTAACCCTATCGGAAGGGTTTAACAGGTCGGAATGAAAAGGAAAAAAAAAAACCACTTCTCCTTGGATTTGGGTTTTTTGTGTTTTTTTTTTTTTTGTTTTTTTTTTGTTTTTTTTTTTTTTTTTGTGTTGGCATGGATGACACAGGGCCAGATCCAGAGATGGAGAGGGCAGAAGGGAGGTGGGAACCAAAGGAACAATCCCACTGTGACCAAACCTCCCTGGAATTAATGATGTTGGGTTTGATGGGGTGTTTGAAGGCATTTTATTTAAGCCATTTATTTTATTGAAGTGATGGTGGGAATGATCCAGGTACTGGGATGCTCCATGGGGACCCTGCCTGTCCCCTGTCCCCTCTGAATTTGGCTGCACCCCGTGGATTTGGGGGCTGCAGGGAGTCTCCACATGAGGTCCACAAAGCGCCACCACATCACCGAACCTCCAACTCCCCCATTACAGCCGATCATTAACAACTTTATTAAAGTTTTACACCGTTAATTAGTGGGCGGTGGGATCCTCGTTAGTGTGATTTCCTCTTTGTCATCACTGAGTCAACACCGGGAAGGGACCGACCTTAACTCAAGTTCACTCCATCACCAATATTAACACGGATTATGAAGAGGAAGAGGGAAATGGAAAAAGAGACCAGAAATGTCTGAAAGCCCTGGCATGGGATGCCCCAGCGTCATTCCTGGACGTTTTTCCAGATCCATCCTTTCTCCAGCCAGGTGACAGCACCAACATGCTCAAGTTCACTCTATCACCAATATTAATACAGATTATGAAGAGGGAGAGGGAAATAGATGGAAAAAGAGATGTCTGAGAGCCCTGGCATGGGATGCCCCAGCAGAATTCCTGAACGTTCTTCCAGATCCATCCTTTCTCCAGCCAGGTGACAGCACCAATATGCTCCTGGCCTGGCCATGACAATGGCTGGGGGTACACCCGGCTGTGAGTGCCACCATTCCCCCTGCCAGGACTTCACCCTGCCTGGCACTGCCAGGCACCAGCAGCCCTCCCTGCCCCAGAACAGCGGGCACCACAAAGCCCTGCCCGTGTCCAAACCCCCTGGTGCTCCTGGGCCAGCAGGGATGTGACAAACTGCACCCCTGACTGTCGCTGCCTCAGTTTCCCCCACTGCAGAAGGCAGGGACCCCCTCCAGGTCCTGAGGCACCCCCTGTGTACCCCAAAGCACAGAGATAAACAGATTCAGGGAAGATTTCAAACCACAATTTCCAAGCCTGAAGATCTCCTTTTGGCAGTGCTCATGGAGGGAAGCATAAGGAGGGGCTCAGAGCAGGACAGGCTGACGGTATGTAGCATGTTCTAGCAAATACACACCCAGCAAGGCAAAATGCAGCTGACAATAACTGCACTTGCGGGGAAAACTGAGCCCTTGCATGAACAGATGAAATAATTGTGAGTGCAGTTTCCCTGGATCAGTGCTCACAGCAACAGAGAGCTCCAGGCTGGCAGTGAGTGGTAACATTTTGTGTTTGCAGCCTGTGGGATTAACTTTCAGAGGAGATCTCCTGACCTTCAGATGGGCATGCCGTTTGACCCAAGAAGTCTCCTAAACCCCACAGTGTTAACTTTTATTCAAGATGCTCT